AACATTTGTTTCTTATCTTATTGTAATTGGCTTGTGAGGTTCCACCAAGTTTAGGAAAAAAAATAACAGTTGATGAAAATATTAAGAAAAGAAACAGAGTAAAGCTTTTGTGCAGCGGGGGGGGGGAGTTGAAGGTCTTAATTCTGATTCTCTTGCATGTATGCATGGAAGATTCACTGTACTGCAACCATTTTTACGTTATTTAGTAAAGGGACTGGCAAGAGTACCAAAATAGCTCTTATATAACTCTATACTCATTTTAAAGGATTTATCTATAACTCTAAATCATAGCACGCTAACACTAACCCCTAAAGAAAAAGCAAGTCCATTGTTTGAGGATGATTAAGCTTAGGGTTGACTCACCTGCTGACACAGCTGCTCTGTGTTAACTCTGAACAGCAGTTCTCATGTGCGCTTTGTTGTCTGACTGTCTCAGCTGCCTGCCTCAGCCTCTACTCTTGTTTTTTAATTTGTTTTCCTGCCTTTGAAAACCCATCTGATGAAGAGAAAATGCACTTTTAACTCTGCTTTTAAGTCCTGTTCCCTCTTACAACAGTTGGTGCCATTTGAAAGAGGTGTTGGGTGGTTAAATCCCACAGTTGATCTTACAAATAACTGGGATGTTGTTAGCTTGTTATCCAAATTTTCAAGCCACTGAATTATTAAGAAAATACATTTTCCCATCTGAGAGATAGAAGTACAGATCTTTGGAAGCACTCTCCTATCCAAAGGAGAAAAGATGGACACTGTTGTGAAGTTTGTAGTTTGTCCCATTTTCATAATACACTAATTCAAAGTAAAGGTATTTCACACTGGGAAAGTGATGTGCAGACCCTTTTTCCAATGCTGTCAGAGTACAGTGTTGTTCCACATGCAATGCACAAAAGAAAACTGCAAAATATTTCTATGTGGATGGTGATGAAACAGCTCTAGAAAGAAAAATAATTAAATATTAATCTCCAGAAAATATTTTACATTTCTCATTTGAGTTTGATTGGGAGGTGGTATAAAGTTGCAGTTGGCACATCTGTCATTTCTTGTTGGTATAAAATGAGAAAATAAACAATATATTATTACAATATAAAATTGGTGGGTAGTGAAGAATTGGGAAACAGCTAGCTAGAGTTTCTGGGAGTTGCGAGGTTGCAGGAAATCAATTGCACTTAATGAGAGGAAACTGATTGGAAGATTGTGGCATCAGATAACATTATAACAAAGAAATGCTGATGAGCACAAACATCATCAAACATCAATATTCAATAAACATGCAGATAGTGTTTTCCCACATGTATGGTACAATGTTGGACATCAGTAGGAGGTTTAGGAAACATTACAGATTAGAGATTTGAGATTACCTCCAATAATTAAAATTATGAAAATTAAAATAAAGCCAATGAGACCAAATGGTAGTATTATTATTTTTGTATATTTTAATTTCTCTGGATGCATCAGGAGAAAATCTCATCCAACAGCATGAGCGAGCAGATGACGACTCTGCTGTCCTGACTGTAGTGTGAGAAGGGAGAGAGAGGAAAGACATGAACGTGGTGGAGAGGGGCTGCTGGCATTCATAATCGGTGTGACGCACAAGGTGGACTCCTTTCTGTGTGTTGTGTGTGCGTGTGTGTGTTATTCATAGTCCTGAAAGGCGTCATCAGCTCTGAGCAACCCGCTGCTGTTTCAGAAAGTCACGCTGCGATGCAACATGTTAACCATCAGCAAGCGTCATGGCCCACACCCAACTACACACCGAGCTGGCACACTGTGTGTGTGTGTGTGTGTGAGGTGGGGGGGGCAGGCAGCTAATTCACATTGTGAATAAACCTGCTTTTCTATCAGCTGTGCTGCAAACATGAGATTTCCATCAACGCAAATTAACTATAATACACAAGAATAATTAGGAGAACAGGAAAATTCATCATTTTACTTCTCATTCTACTTTTATCTATTTTTCTTCATTTTTAATATACAGTATTGATATTTAAGATTTAACTAATTTCCTGGTTTTAATTTGTATTCCCCTGCCTGTCACTGTTAATTCCACGGGATTAAGTGTGTTTCCGTCTACTTATTTTTATGCGCATTTTCAATTTGCACATGGAAAACCTGAGTGAGTTAAGCTTAGCTGAGGTGGAAAAGTTGGTTTATAAATAAAAGCAACATGCAAAGTGCAATGGAAACAGACTTAGGCCTACATGAAGTATGTGACAAAAACATCAGCTCTATGGAGCGATGAAGAGACTGTAACCTTCCTCAAATGAATACAAGAAACAAATAGAAATGTCATATTTCCATTTGTTTTCCATACAGTCATCCATTGTTTGCATGATTAAATCACACCTGATGTGCTTTTATTTAACCTTAACCTCACCAATATTTGCAGTATTATAATACTGTTTAGGTGACATGAGTATTTTCACAAGTTAAAATTTTTCCATTGCCAGGTTAAGATTGATATTCGGGGCAATACAACACTATATGGCATCAAGAAGAACAGAGAAGACACAATTCCTTTAAAATTGATGAAACAGATAACGATTTCTGCTGAATATTCTGAGGACAGAAAAACTCCTATAATAGAGGTTGGAGTGACTGTGCCAAACCAATAGGAAGCCTTCGGTCTCCATGTTACATGCAGATCGGTTCTTTCCCTCTACTGATGCCAAATATGTCAATGCCAAGTGTGTCCAAACATGTTTTCAGCAGGTTCTCTAAGCTTCAAAGCGTCACAGCAGGAACTCCCAAAGTCACCAAACCTCATAAAACAGAATGAAAACACTGTGAAACTGCTAGAAAGAGGTGTTTTTCTGGGTTTGGTGCAATTACGTTTTTAAAAAATACACAGGGGAGAGTTTTAGCTTGAAGCTATGCTTTGTGTTATTTTAACCCATTCATAAAGCACTTTGTGTGGTTAGTTAATGAGGCTTACTGGAAACACTTTGGCAGGGCAGAGACACTCAGTGTCCAAAGAGGAAATAATCCCTTTGGGAGTTGGGTTCATTTGTCATCTTAACAGAGTACTTCAGCAATTTAATACTGCTGAAGAAGGCTACTGTTCATGTTTTTGAATATGGCTAAGCTATGGCTATGGAATAATGCTGAATCAGACACTTTGCGTAACGCTCAATAGTGTCTTTTGTTGGATTTTCCACCTGGTAGCCTAAATGCCCACGACTTTTAAATCTTAACAACCCCAGTTTATATTTTTGGTCTTCAAGCCCAAGCTGAGATAATTTAGGTGATATTATCAGGGATACTTGACAAAGCTCCTCCAGAGACACACACAACTCAGTAGTGACTAAACTGAACTTGAAGTGTAAAATTGGAGTGCTCCATTAAACAAGGCAGTTAGCTCTGCCCATGCTAACACGTTGGCACACAGTATGTTAAAGTAACTCCACACTGTATTTTGGAAGGAGGTAAACTAAAACTGCGCTGGCATCTAAAGAAACTGCTGCTTTGTGCTTAAATCATGTTAAATGGCAACTTTTCAGAAGCTGGAACAAACACCCTTGTGACACTTCTGGTGGTGTGTGAATTGCTGGCTAATTTAGCATGCTAACTGTTACAATAGATGGACTTTCAGTGCATGATGAGCGACGTAAGCACTGCACAACAGCTGCTTGTGTGGCTGTCGCAAAATGCTTCTGTTGCACTACCATCTGTTTCTTTAGAGGCTTTCTTTCATAATTTTTTCTTATAAGGATAAATATTAAACTAAAACATGTGGCAAAGAAGTGTTTGTTTTATTCTATTTTTTATGTCCTGTTGTGTCACATGCTTTGTTCTTTGTCCCACCAGGCCAGGTTGTCTTAACCACTTTCACTCTTTTTAATGTTGGTGGTCTGAGAACTGAGGCCCGTTCGTCTGCTCCTGTCACTCAGTATGAGCAGGACTGGATGAGCGCATCATCTACAAACCCTAAAACGCAAATGAAAGACAGATCAAAGTGCTTTATGGGCCATTGTGACAGTTTGATAGATAGAGGGGAGACTCAGGGAGTATTCGGCCACAGTTTGGCAGCAGGGTTAACTTGAGGTTTGGATGTTGTGGTGGCAGTCATGGGAACCAGTCTATGCGCACACACACACACACACACACAGAGTGCCTGGCAGCCATAATGTTCCTGTCCACACGCACAATGACAGACAATCACGTATCATTTCCTCTGTTACCCTCTGTTCCATATTCAGTATGTTCATGGGGGGAAAGTAGCCTCTTCCTCTTGTGCGTTTGTGAGATACAGAGTATCAGACAAGGCAAATTCACCTATTCAGTGTAAGTAAATAAAAAATAAAGTTTGCTCCGACTGTTGTTAGGTTTCCTAAAAGATTTATATACTCCCTGTTCTGACTGTGTAGAAGCACCTTTTTAAAAATTTTCCAGGACAGGAATCAGGTTTTATTTGAGAAAACAGTTTATCTCCTCTTGGGGAGCTTTACTGTTGATCATGATGCAGTGATGCAGTCTGTCCACTGGATGGTGGTGTTGTAAAGGGGTCAGATCGTGTTGTGTAAATGACCAACCACTGTGGCTTTCAGAGGGAAGAATGAACTTCAGAATCAAGCAGAAGCTGGAATTACTACATCTAAATGATCTTGTCCCATTAAATAAATTTATGTTAAAACTCTATGTAACTAAGAAATCTAACTGCCTCACCAGAGCTGGATTTACTCCCTTTCTTTTATATGTGATTTGGTGTTTGATTTATCTGTGTTTTCATTTCTATTTAATTTGTAACTGGTGTGCCATCTTGGCCAATGAATCAGTCTCAAGTCACTTCCTGGTTAAATAAAGGTTAAATAAAATAAAACATTTAACTTTATTTTTTTAAATCATTATACTTGAACTCTATTTTTACCTTTTGTCTCTTTAATATGAAGCTACGGTATGCTACTAATAAATTATTATTATTTATTTATTGTTCCAGAAGTGGAGGGATATCCTCAGTTACAATATGTTGTTCATTGTTTGCAAAAAAAAAAGATTTACTCCAAGACTGAGGAAGAGCTATTGATGATCTTTATTTAACAACAACAGAATCACAGATGAAAAACAAACTTCTGTTTGGTTAAACATTTATCTAAATACAGTCTTTGTCCTTATATTGTTGTGATTGTTAAAACTGTGTTCTGTACCCTAAATGTAGAATAAATCATGTTTGTTCACAACAGAAACGCACACTAAACCAATATGACAGTAGAAAAAGTAATATCAATTTAAAGTGTTATGACATTTGATTTGACGTAAGTTCAATTGTTGACACTTTATTGTGAGAAGACCACCACAGTCTACCAAACAATAAGCCTAGGCAGGACATTCATTCAGTGTGAGAGTCACACCTACAACCAACAGGTGAATGACAATGTTATTTGTATCACTACAAACAAGTCTTAAATATTTATTTCTCACCATATTGCAAAAAAAACAAAGGTGAGTGTGTTAAGTTAGAATAAAGGAAGCTAACATTTAACTCAAGAAAAGCTTAAACCAATAAACAATAACTGAAATTAAACTATTCTTCTCTGAGTTTTGATTGAATCAGGAAACGTTGACAACTTTAACTAAATATAATGCTAAACCAGAGGTGGAAAGTACATTTAATAGTACTATACTCAAGTACAATTTTGACCTATTTGAACTTTACTTGAGTATTTCCATGTTATGTTGCTTCTCCACCTCTACATATTGGAAGCAAATATTGTACTTTTTACTCTGCAACATTTATCAGACAGATTCAGTTATTTCTTACTTTGCAGATTCAGATTATTAATACAAAATATTAGTCAACTAATAAATCATGATATATTATGTAGTAATATATCCAGCAGTGTATAAAGTAATGAAAATTAGATCCATCTTTCCAACTGCACCATTAAAGCAATGAACACATTAATGCAGCCATAATTGTAATCCAGTTATATAATATATTCTGAAACATAACAATCTGCATGATTAGTACTTTTACTTTTTGGTACTTTAGTTATGCACTAATGCTAATACTTTTATATTTTTACTTAAGATTTTAAATTAGCTTTTTTACACTGTGGAATTTCCAGTTTGCTAGAAAGATAAATACTCCTCGCCAGGATGTCTCCTTCAGATATGGTTTGGTACTGCACAGTGTTGTGTGTGTGTGTCAGTCAGCAGTGAGTATTGAAACGGCTCTCCTTTCTACAATTCACAAAGAGACGCAGAGGAATCGTATCCAAATCCAAACCCAGGGTAGAGAGGTTCAGTGAATGTGCAGTGGAAGGTGTAGAGTAGGGTCAGATTGCCATGAGAGACATTGTAGAAGGACAGAGTGCAAGCAGGACAGTCCACATACACTGCTACTCTGTCAGATCCAGAGGCAGAGAAAGGAAGGTCAGTTTCTCTCTTATTGTGCCAGACAGAGTAACCATGTTCAGAGCACTGCAGACTCCAGGATTGATCATTCCTCCCAAACCAACAGTCATCAGTCTTTCCTCTCCTTATGATTCCTTTGTACGCCACTCCTATAAGAACATCTACTTTCCACTCAGCCTCCCAGTAACAGCGATCGGTCAGACCGTTTCTACACAGAACCTGACAGTAGTTAAATCTCTCTGGAGTAAGAGGATACGGCTGCTTCTCTCTCACTGCAGTCATCTTTCTGTTGTTGTCAGACAGTCTGAGCTTATGGTGTGCTGTGTTTGAGTCCAGAGTGAGTTCACAAGCATCTGATTGAGAGAACACGATAAAAATAGATCGTTTAATTTATGTTAATTAATAGTTCTATTTATTAACAGTTTATCGTTAATCGCTAATATAAATTAATTGTCACTGTGACAAATGTGATCAGTCTTTACTTGTTTAACGCATTAAACTGAATACAGACTTACACTTCCTCAAACCAGGTGCTAATCTCTGCTGTCCACAATGGTCCACCCTGGAGGAAGACAAAAATGTTCTTTCATTATGAAAACAGGAGCATTTAACTTGAGTCTCTAGCCTCCACAGTTAAAATCCTGGGTAGGAGATGTGTCCTGTCTGTTTCCACCCCCACTATGACCAAGAGCTCTGATCTTTATAGCCGTCCATTAAGTTCTCATCTGTGGATGCTAAATTTTACTACTGTCGCTGGACTTGGTATTATTAGTAATTTAGTTTCCTTCTGGACCATGTGAAACCTGTTTAAATATTATGGGTTGCATCCAAACAGTAACAAAACACAGAAATAGACTTTATTGATGGAATCTCCTGCAAGATCCCACCCAGCATCCTGGGTCTGTATTTAATAGCACTGTTCCTCACAGTGTAGGTCCTGTTGGTGATGGTTGTGTATGTCTTTTCCCCAGTTATTCATTAATTCCTATTAGGATCACTGAAAAGCAGTGTGTAATTCCAAAACCTATAATTATTTGTTCAGTGTGTAAATGTTTTAATCCTAGTTCAACCATGTAAAGCACTTTGTAACTGTGTTTTTAAAAAATGCTCTATAAATACAGGTTACTAAAATGATTCACCCCTGTTTTAGCATCATTGCACTGGCTCCCAGTTTGTTTTAGGATTGATTTTAAGATTTTATTCATTACTTTTAAGGCTATTAATGGCCTGGCTCCTGATTACATTTTTGATATTTGAACTCCTTATGAGCCTTCTTGTGGTCTAAGATCTTCTGGCAGGGGCCTCTTGTCTATTCCCGGATCCAGACTAAGAACAAAAGGTGACAGAGCATTTGGTGCCCGGGTCCCGAGGCTCTGGAATGACTTGCCTGAGGAAATGAGGCTATTTTTTTTACCGGAAAGCATATCCCAATTTTATCTGAGCTGCCAGTCATTTTATTATTGTTGTCTGTCATTTTATCATTATATCTTTGCTTATCTTATCTTTCCTTGTGTTGCAGAACGTATTCGCTGTACTCTATGTGATCCTTGTCCTTGTTCTTTCAGTACGCATGCTATATAAATAAAGCATATTATAATTATTATTATTAGCTATAATAATAATAATCTTATTATACAATAATAATAATAACCTGGCATAAACAGTTTTTCTCAGGTTGTCTGTGTCAAATAGAGCTTTTGTTGCCTGTCCATACTTGAGTTTGTCCAGGCTCCAGTGGGGATCTTCTAGTCCAGCAGACAGCAGCTTCACTCCTGAGTCTCCTGGATGATTGTAGCTCAGGTCAAGCTCTCTCAAATGGGAGGGGTTGGATCTAAGAGCTGAGGCCAGAAAGGCACAGCCTTTCTCTGAGACCAGACAGCCTGACAGCCTATGCGCACACACAATGAATTTCAGCATATAAGGTTTTGCTGTGATTGTGTTTCATTCAGAGTTCATGCCAATGTGGCTCTATGTATCACAGTTTCGATCAAAGGTGGTCCAGACTAAAACCACTATGAGGTTGACATTTGTAGCTTTATGTGGAATATCTCAGTAACTACTAGAGGGACTGCCATGAAATGTGGCACAAACATTCATGTCCCACTTTGCAGAGCCACCAGCATGGCTGTAGACACTTAGAAGTGTTTTTCTTTTATTGGTTCTGCTTTGAAATCGTCTATTGTAGTGATATTAACACCAAAGCTTTGTTCCAACCTGTTCATATGAGTATAAGATTTCTACTTATGTGGTGTATCATCACTTAACCAGCATATAAAGCAACAGGAAAAACTGACATCTCTTTAACCTGAAAGTTTCCAGTATACAGTGTGGACTCCCCAGTCCAGCAGAGAGCAGCTTCACTCCTGTGTCCTGCAGGTCGTTGTTACTCAGGTCCAGCTCTTTCAGACAAGAGGAATGGGAGCTGAGAACTGAGGCCAGAACTTCACAGCTTCTCTCCGAAAGATGAGCTGGATGATTGTAGCTCAAGTCTAGCTCTCTCAAATGGGAGGGGTTGGATCTAAGAGCCGAGGCCAGAAAAGTACAGCCTTCCTCTGAGCCCAGACAGCCTGACAACCTACGTACACACACACATGCACACAAAATTAATTTCAGTATATAAGAATTTGCTGTGAATGTGTTTCATGCACAGTTCGTGCCAGTGTGGTTCTATGGATCTCAATGTCAATGGAAGGTGGTCCAGAGTGAAACCATTATGAGATTGACATTTGTGTCTTTGAGTGAAAAATCTCATCAACAATTAAATGGATTGCCATGCAATGTGGCACAAAAATTCTTGTCCCGCTTCACAGAGCATGGCTGTAGACTCTTAGTAAGACTAAGCAGAATAATCTTCAATGAGGATCAAACACTCAACATTGCAACCATGGGTCCTGTGCTCTACCAACTAAGCAAACCAGTTACACTGAAAACCATACTGAAATTACCATTAAGAAACGTTTCTGCCGACCCCTATGTTTAACTACTGTTTTGTTATCTCGAAATCATAACGAAAAGTATCCCATTATCACGTAAAAACAAAGAAAAAAATATCTTTGAGTCAATGGTCGCTTAGGGTTTCCCTACGACATAGTAGGATGTTGAATTAATTATGTTTCTGTAAAGTTCTTCCAGTGTTTTCTCATCTCTCTCCCTCACCACGCAGCCCAGCCCCTCCCTCTGCGTCTGCACGCAGCCCTCTAGGTCAGAGGTCACTAATAGACGGACCGCGGTCCGGATCCGGACCCAGCCGCCGTCCTCTCCGGACCGCCGACCTACAGCCCATTTATTATTGAGACTTACTACCTCGTGACGGAGCGTTTCTATTTTAACCCGCGCAGCTTTTCTAGCATTTACTGTACTGGTTTAGAGGACCAGGAAACTCACAGACCAATCGCATGTGCTCCAATCGTCTCATGTGACGCTGCTCAGCCAATCAAATCTGTGCATACCGATGCTTGCGAGTCGAGTCCGCGAGATACACCAGAGACGTTTTGGAAACACACCAGAATTGAGGAGACGAAAGATAAAAGAGATTTCACATGACTTTTAATCAAGAATGTACAGATTTTTACATGTACATTCCTCCCACGGGCAGTTCAAAACCAGAATATCTCATAGATCTCCAATATGCTAGCTGGAACTCACGTTTCTCACTGAACAACAGAAAGTAGGAAAGTGGTAGCTCTGTAAGAGGAAATGAAAGAGAAGAGGAGGCATTACAGCTGTTCATACAACTATAGGTTAATAGTACTGAATGATAACGCAAGTTCGTCGTTTTGATGTTCCGGACCTTTGCTTCAGGAAATTTTCTCTAACTAGACCTCTTTGAAATCTAATTGAATACCCCTGCTCTAGGTCATAAACTCTAACAGCATGGAGGGAGACCCAGTGCTGGTCGACACTGCTGAAGACCTGGGGCAAATTTAATCTCAAAACGTTTTGCAACGTCTTCGGATTGAACGACATGTTTCCTTGCAACGTTGTCCAATAGGCAACGAGGTATGTTTTCTCCCGTTAGGTGGGTGTGTCATAGGCGAGAAACACAGAGTTGCTATCTATTACGTTACAAGTCGTGACATTGTGGATATTTTACAAGCGCAGACCAGGTAAAGCGACAGTGAACACAGCAGTGCACATCTCATTCATTAGCTGCCATGTTGGTTTTTGTTTTGAAAGGCTACCTCGTCAAAATGCCTACTACACACACACACACACACACACACACACCACACACACACACACACACACACATATATAATGTAATGTCTACAAAATAAACAAAGATGTTATAACCAGCATTGACATCTCTTTGACCTGAGAGTTTCCAATATACAGTGTGGACTCCCCAGTCCAGCAGAGAGCAGCTTCACTCCTGTGTCCTGCAGGTTGTTGTTACTCAGGTCCAGCTCTCTCAGACAAGAGGACTGGGAGCTGAGAACTGAGGCCAGAACTTCGCAACTTCTCTCCGAAAGATGACAGCCACTCAGCCTGAAGATGAGCAAGTGAGGAAAATACTCAAAAGGTTTTCTCATCAATAAAATATAAACATATTCTTTACATATGTAGTTATTTTCATGTTATATCTGATATCTTTGTATATAGACATGTCATGTTGTGTCTGTATGTTTTACATACAGTATATCAAGAGGATAAGACTGCTTCATGAAAACATTTTGTTTGATATTATTAATATATTGAGTTGCCTTTTTCACCTACATTGCTTTATTGGAGGCTTTGACCACCGGCAGCATCCTTAGAAAAACCTCTTCAGAAGCAGAAAATTTCTTCAGATCAAACACATTCAGATCTTTTTCTGATGACACTAACATAAAGGCCAGAGCTGACCACTGTGCCAGAGAAAGATCCTTTCTAGTGAGTGAGTACTGTTGGATCTCCTCGACTAGAGAATGATCCTTCAGCTCATTCAAACAGTGGAACAGATTGAAGATTCTCTCTAGATGGAGATCCTCACTGATTTTCTTCTTGATGTACTCCGTTGTTTCTTGATTAGTCTTGGACTCACTTCCTTTCTCTGTCACCAGCTGTTGTAGAAGATTCTGATTTGTCTGCAATGAAAGACCCAGGAGAAATCGTAAGAACATGTCCAGGTGCCCATTTGGACTCTGCAAGGCCTTGTTCACAACACACTGGTGGAGGTGTTTTAGTTTAGATTGGTCTGTAAATAGTTTTGACCACCAGGAGGATGTTTGTGGTTCTACAAGATTGACACCAGAGTTGATGAATGTCATATGGACATGAAGAGCAGCCAGAAACTCCTGAATGCTCAGATGGATGAAGCAGAACACCTTGTCCTGGTACAGCCCTCTCTCTTCTTTAAAGATCTGTGTGAACACTCCTGAGTACACTGAGGCTTCTCTGATATCGATGCCACACTCTGTCAGGTCCGATTCATAGAAGATCAGGTTGCCTTTCTGCAGCTGCTCAAAAGCCAGTTGTCCCAAAGACTCAATCATCTTCCTGCTCTCTGGAGTCCAGTGTGGATTTGTCTCAGCTCCTCCATCATACTTCACGTTCTTCAATTTAGACTGAACCACCAGGAAGTGGACGTACATTTCAGTCAGGGTCTTGGGCAGATCTCCTCTCTTTCTGGTCTTCAACACATCCTCCAGAACTGTAGCAGTGATCCAGCAGAAGACTGGGATGTGGCACATGATGTGGAGGCTTCGTGATGTCTTCATGTGGGAGATGATTTTGCTGGCCAGCTTCTTATTTCTGAATCTCTTCCTGAAGTATTCCTCCTTCTGTGCGTCAGTGAACCCTCTGACCTCTGTCACCCTGCCAACACACTCAGGAGGGATCTGATTGGCTGCTGCAGGTCGTGTGGTTATCCAGAGGCGAGCAGAGGGAAGCAGTTTTCCCCTGATGAGGTTTGTCAGCAGCACATCCACTGAGGTGGACTTTGTAACATCAGTTAGGATCTCATTGTTGTTAAAGTCCAGAGGAAGCCGACACTCGTCCAGACCGTCAAAGATAAAGATGACCTGGAACTCTTCAAACCTGCAGATTCCTGCTTCTTTGGTTTCAGTGAAGAAGTGATGAATAAGTTCCACCAGACTGTACGTTTTCTCTTTCAGCACATTCAGCTCTCTGAAAGCAAATGGAAATGTGAACTGTACGTCCTGGTTGGCTTTGCCTTCAGCCCAGTCCAGAGTGAACTTCTGTGTCAACACTGTTTTCCCGATGCCAGCCACTCCCTCTGTCATCACTGTTCTGATTGGTTCATCAGATGAGGGTTTAAAAATGTCTTCACACCTGATTGTTGTTTCTGGTCTGGCTGACTTCCTGTATGCTGCTTCAATCTGTCTGACCTCGTGTTCATCATTGACCTCTGTAGTCCCTCCCTCTGTGATATGAAGCTCTGTGTAGATCTGATTTAGGAAAGTCGGATTCCCTGGTTTAGCAATCCCCTCAAACACACAATGAAACTTCTTCTGCAGATTTGACTTGACTTTATGTTGGCACAGTCCAAAAAAGGTTCCTGAATGAAAAATTAATATTAAAATCAACTGGATGCAGTACATCTGAGTAACAAACATTAAAGAGTGGCTGCTGTGTTTCCTACTTTTATCAAATCTATTCAGCTCATCAGTGGAGGACAAATAGCTTCTGTGGTCAGCTCAGAAAAAAACATCTGATACATGTGCTTAGAACATATTCAGCAGAATAAAATAAAAATGTAAAATCTGTTAAAAGCCTCTTACTGCTCTGCAGACAATCAGCCAAATCCTCCTGATTTATTCTCTTCAAGAAGAGTAGTGTGATCTTCAGAAATGCCTCTCTGCTCCTCTTCTGCTCTTCCTCCTCACTTTGTACCTCCTTATCCTCCCTCTGCCTCCTTAAGAATTCGGGGTAATCTAGACTCAGAACCCTCTGGAACCTCTTCAACTCATCCCTCACAAAACTGACAATGTTCTCCTCAAGCAGCTGGAACACAATAACATGTGAATATCACTTTCTATATAGTGTTATATAAAAAAATTTATTCAATTATCTGCCAAGTTAAAAGGCTAAAGAGTCCAGCATGGACGCTGTAGACACACAGCGGCATCGTCTTGACAAGCACCATCACAGGTTACAAACGTGTGAACACTTCTTCTGTCTGTATGCTGTGTTAATTTAGTGTTTAGTTTGTGGCTTTTTATTTAGCAGTGGGGTTTGTACATTAACACACCATAAATATAGATCCCACATCTGTTTGTTGCTGCTGAGAAGAAGGAACACCAGCAACCTCTGAGTGGTCTTGAACTCTGTGGAGAAAATATGGACGTTTAGATTGCAATGATGCACGACATATTAAAAAATAGCAGAGTATGAAATGTTGGAACATGATGTTTTTCTCAGTAAAAACATCTTTAAAATATTACATTTATTCACAGGACTGATATCTTTATAAAGGATAAGAATCGATGGATAGGTAGAACCAGAGATATCATCTTTTTTATTCCACTTTGCTCTTTCTTGTCAAAACCTGGCGCCTACATTATCCATAATGCAACTCAACAGTTTGGTCAGAAATTCTGGTGTGTTAACCTGCAGCAGTGATCTACACTAATTTCACTTCAACAAACTAAGTATCTTCTATATAACTAAACATGCACCTACCAGATCCCAACACCAGTCATATGAAGCATATAAAGATGTACCTTCCCCATAGTTATAACGCCTTAATATGAATGAGCTCCAATACAAGGAGACTTATCTGAAATGTCAATTAATTGTATTATGTTGACTAACTTTGGTTCAGAAGAATGTTGTCCTTTAAATTCAAGATGACGTGTCATGGACCGGTCACTCTTCATGGACACACAGCTGGGTGTAGGAGAGTCTGTTCTCTGCAGTTGTTCTGGGCTTCAACACAACACACACAGCTTTGACTGTGAATAATGCACTGAGCTCTGACATGAAGAACAGTTATGAACAGTGATGATCCACATCTCACCTCTGAGCTTCAGTCTGGCTTCCATGTTCCCCACACAGGACGGTTTTAGAGGGGGGGACGGCCTCCTCTCTGTCGTCACAACGATTCATGACAAAGCTGACATATTTACACAAACACAAACACATTATTCCACAGTGATGGAAGGATGCCAAAGTCTCTGAGGTGCTCAAGGAAAAAGAACAGGATCCTTGAGAATGAGGATCTCATCCCAAACATCATTGAGGAATGAAAAAGTGCACTTAGAGAAAGAAGCAGGCTGGGTACAGTGGCCATAAGAATATATAATATGCGATAACTTTATGACCATAAAATGTATGTTACACTTGACAGGTATCACCTCTGCTTAAGGTCATTATGTTTTACTTTAAAGACCTCAAATTCTCACACAAATCTATTAACAAATTCAGGAAGGAAAGAGAAATAGACATAATTAGAGAGAAAACTTACCAAATTTGCTGAATAATTTGGAAAGTCTAAACCATGCTTCTATTGTTTAATTAAAAAGTACATAGTGGCAGTGAGGATTTTCCTTAAAGATGGAAAGAAATTTTAGTCAGTAGAAGTAGTGTATAATTAGGGTATCGAAAAAAAGGCCTTTTGCAATTTTCAAATCTCAGGAGGTGCAACATTTGTAAAAGGCAAAATGTATGTCAAAATAGCTTTTTTAAATTAAATATTGTTGTGATGCAAAAGAATAGCAGTCAAAATATTGCAATTATATTTTTCAAAAAATTTCAACACAATGTATTATGCAATAAAATCCAATAGCACTATAAACTATAGTCTCTGATATGACCACGAAGTTATATGACCATCACAGAGGCCGCCTGCAGTCCATCTGTACATCACAAGCCAGATCATGTCCCTTGATTTAAGTTAAAACCTTAGTCAGAATTTAATGACAGGATAACAGCGGTACGAACATTAAAACCATCTCACAGTTGCGATTTCCACTGTATGGGTAATATGGGAAAGTCATCTACGTTCTTTAAATGAGGGAAATATGCATTTAGGGACTTTCTAATGTTAAACATAGTTATTCAAGGTCTATAAGCATAACACAGGTAGACAAGGTTGCAGATCTCACTACAATTTAGAACGTACCACTGATATAGGTTTTTATTAAACTCTAAAATTACTCCATATACCATGATGACCAAAGGACGACAATGTGGGCAGTGTGGAGGCTATAAAGTTATAAAGTTCAAAGTACCTGGGGTCCAGCATGTTCAAATGTGCTGGTGTATAGAACTCTCCATTCTTTATGAATAAATATGACTTCTTATGTTTCCATGAATAAAATACATTTTCTTATTCTGCTTTCTGTAGCCCTTTTCATAATATTTTTTTTTAATTGATGACAGAGCTAGGCATGCATAAATCAATGTGGTTTAGGCTTTTTCTTCAATCCTAATTTAAGAGTCCCAGATAACAAAGTAACCCGTCCAAGATTCTCAAATTTGGGCAGAATCATTTCCTAATTTTATTAGAGTAATTTTATTTATTGATTACTGCATCTTCAAAGTTTTCCCCCTTAGAAAGTTTAAACAAAGATTAAAACATTTTCATATCGGAAACACAAAGAAAAGTAAAACAACAAACACAAAATATAGCCTAAACAAAGTAAAATATAGATAAAACATTTAAAATTTTTACCAATAAGTCCATAAACCTTGTGTGCCATGTTTATAGGTTACACACCCATTATGCACTGAGCAGTAAAAATTTCGCAACTCATTTCCTTATTTATGTGACGCAGTAAGAAAAACCTAAATAAACACAAAGTCTCAGACAGACGACTATTTTTGGTCCTACATTGAGAGTTAGTAATAATACTAACACTAAATAATAATAGTTAGTAATTTAAGCATTTTAACTTTTTGGATAAACTATATTTTCAGTGCTCTTTAAGGTGTGGTGGTCAGAACTCTGTCAGGTAGAAAGATGCACATTCTTTGGCAATACGACAAAGAGCTTCTTAAAGTATGTCGTTTTAACAAAAACTGAACAATGACCGTGACTGACCTTATGTGGGAGAAGAGGACGAGACAGACGACTCCGGTTCAAAAGCAGCTTGGGGACTCACACTGGTCGGTCACAGCCAACAGTTTCTCTACTATTTACCTTATCTTGTCTGTCACATGGTAAAACAAAAAATACAGCTGCTATAGACGCATAAGGTGGAAACACCGGGTGTCAACATAAACATGTCTTTACCTGTCTTAGACTTATTTTTTGCTAAAAAAAAAAAAATTGGGGAAGTTTGTTTTTCTTTCCGGAACTGCACATACATCCGGATATGGCTACAGCCTGGAGCCTGATCCGTCTCACTGTTACAAACTCATTCGCTTACTTTTGTGATCTGCTTATTTTTTCTCCACTAAAACCTGTCACAATGCCGATGATGTGTGGAGGGACCTCTCCGCTGATGCGGACGAAAAAATCCAGAAGATCTGCGGAGCAGAAAGCAGGGAAGACCTATGATGTTTTCACAGCCAAGAGCTACTCGACGCAGGCGGGGACCAAGTACTTCATTAAGGTTCACGTGTTTATGAAAAACTCCCATGTTATGGAGGTGAGATTGCGCAGAGTAACATGCAACAATTCAAGAGCCACCACGACCATATTGAGTACTTCTAATGGGATCCCAAATGAAACATCAGCGCCACCAGGCTGCAGTCTCATTGTAGTCTGTTTATTATCAGATAATCCAGACTCTCTATATAAAACAGTTTATGCAGTTCCCATTGTTAACATGTAATAACGTACTGTAGATCATGATGTTAGGAGTAGGTCAAAATATATAAAATAACAGTTTTGTACAACATGAATTAATAAATACACCAGACTTGTAAAAAATAATAATAATAATAAGCCCTCCCGTCTCGTGCCTTCCGCTAGTTTCTACATTTCAAAATAAAAGCTCGCGGGGCCACTCCACCGAATGGGTGTCATTTGGCTGTTGTCACCATTCCAAAATAAACAGAAGAGCAAATTTGACGTTTTTTCAAGACGGAATCTAAAATATTTAATGGTCACTCTCAGGCAAGTTTATTTAAACTTTTACAAGGTTTCTAAGCGGAAGATGGCTGCATTTTTCTCAGTCCTGTTACCAAAACTTATGTGTCATTTTGAAACCATGTTTAAAAGCAGGTCAAATAATTCCTTTGTTTTTCCATAAGGAAAGTGTTTATTTATAATAAATTGTTGGTTACATGTTCAAAAAATGAATATTTTTGACAAAAAATGTAATTTATATGCATGCAAGTTGTATTTTTCAAAAAAATGCAACACCTTTTTTTTTATTTTAAAGGAGACCGAAACCTAAGGTTTATCAATGTTTTTATCATGTAATTTATTAAACAATGGGATAAATGATTGACCAATCATAAGAGAATAAATAGTGGTTTATCTTATTTTTTTATGAAAACTAAACAATTTAGTAACAGGAATGAGCACTGGGTAACAGGAATGAGCACTGGCTAACAGTATGCAGAAATACAGTGGGTACGGAAAGTATTCAGACCCCTTTAAATTTTTCACTCTTTGTTTCATTGCAGCCATTTTCCAAAAATCAAAAAAGTTCATTTTATCTCTCAGTAATGTACACTCAGCACCCCATCTTGACAGAAAAAAACAGAAATGTAGAAATTTTTGCAAATTTATTAAAAAAGAAAAACTGAAATATCACATGGTCATAAGTATTCAGACCCTTTGCCGTGAAACACCTGAAGGACTCCAAGATGGTGATAAATAAGATCCTCTGGTCTGATGAGACCAAGATAGAACTTTTTGGCCTTAATTCTAAGCGGTATGTGTGGAGAAAACCAGGCACTGCTCATCACCTGTCCAATACAGTCTCAACAGTGAAGCATGGTGGTGGCAGCATCATGCTGTGGGGGTGTTTTTCAGCTGCAGGGACAGGACGACCGGTTGCAATCGAGGGAAAGATGAATGCAGCCAAGTACAGGGATATCCTGGACGAAAACCTTTTCCAGAGTGCTCTGGACCTCAGACTGGGCCGAAGGTTTACCTTCCAACAAGACAATGACACTAAGCACACCGCTAAAATAACGAAGGAGTGGCTTCACAACAACTCCGTGGCTGTTCTTGAATGGCCCAGCCAGAGCCCTGACTTAAACCCAATTGAGCATCTCTGGAGAGACCTGAAAATGGCTGTCCACCAACGTTTACCATCCAACCTGACAGAACTGGAGAGGATCTGCAAGGAGGAATGGCAGAGGATACCCAAATCCAGATGTGAAAAACCTGTTGCATCTTTCCCAAAACGACTCATGGCTGTATTAGATCAAAAGGGTGCTTCTACTAAATACTGAGCAAAGGGTCTGAATACTTATGACCAAGTGATATTTCAGTTTTTCTTTTTTAATAAATTTGCAAAAATTTCTACATTTCTGTTTTTTTCTGTCAAGATGGGGTGCTGAGTGTACATTACTGAGAAATAAAATGAACTTTTTTGATTTTTGGAAAATGGCTGCAATGAAACAGAGTGAAAAATTTAAAGGGGTCTGAATACTTTCCGTACCCACTGTATTCAGGATAACAGGAATGAGCGCCACAACGACAGCTAAATTGCTTTATCTTGCATTTGCAATTACATTAATATGCAGGGTACTTTGTTTAATAATAAAAAGTATTTTAAAAATAATTTGTATGCATATTTATGTCCTGGGGACGGAAAATGGCACCCATTCGGTGGAATGACCCGGCTTCTGAAGATCCCTACCCTGGATCCTGAAGCAATTTCTGCCAACGTGCGGGACAACAGTGATAATGAAGAACAAAATAATAAACATTATACTCAATCCAAGACTCATTTTTATTTATATATTCTATGATGTTTCCACATTTAACAGGGAAATTGCTGTAAATAAAATTGCTTGTTCTAGTGTGTGTGTGTGTGTGTGTGTCTCTTTGGGTTGGCACATACAGGATAAGCAGCAGATATTTTATTAAGTATTTTATTCATTCGCATGATTGCCGTAACTATTTAGTTCAAAAACACCAAAGTACGAGGAGACAGAACCAGACGTGAGTTTTTATTTTGCACCGTAGAAGCTAGCGGAAGGCACTATGAGACGGGAGGCTCCAGGCTGCAGCCATACAGTCTTGGACCAAAGGGCATGGAAATATCCAACACATTCTCATCTCAATGCGTCATAATATACCTGAGAACCAGGTAATAGGTCAGGACTCTGTGCAGGCTAGTAAAGTTCTCCACACCAAACTCTCTCAAGGGTACCTCAGCAGGGTCTGAGATGATCTCACTCACTCGCCAAACCAATCACAGTTTTTTTATTATTCCTGCTGCTTCAGGTGAATAAAGAGAGAACCTTAAGGCTGTGGGTTGGTGACAGGAAATAAGATAATTTTCTAATTTCATTACAGTTCTCTTTTTTATTGATTAAAGTATCTTTGAGGTTTTCACCGTTAAGTAAAAAAACGTTAAATATACAGAAAACGTGCTATAAATCAGTCAAATGTCATCATCCTCACCAGACCTTTCTGAGACTGACAAACATCACAAGTTCCAACAAAAAAGCCCTCTGTAAAGGTGCAAATTAAGTTGATCCACAAATAGTGTTTTTCAGTTTGGATTTGATGATTTAGGTGTCTGTTTCAGTTATTTAAACACTGTCCCACGTTTACTCAGTTGAAACCTCTAGTGTTCCAGCCTGAATGGTAATTTACCAGACACTTTGTGTACAATTCGACCTTTCTGGTACCTGGAGAATCTATTCAGGCTCCTGTAATGTTTCCAAGCTTGTGTCTGAATCTGAGGACAGCTGGTGCCTCCTGGTGGTCAGCTGGTGGCTATGCGCTCTGCACAGTGCTCTGTGGACTCCGGGACTCTGCAACAACAATAGCACCACCACCATGAAACAAACAGTATTAAACACTTAGCAGCTTAGTTTAGCCTATCACAGAAGTATTTGTATCAGTGTTTATGTGTTTGCAATAAGAAAGAAGGAACTGCAGTACACAAACGCAAAAAGATGCTTGAGGTAATTTAGAGCGACTTTGACCCATAATTTGTATTTGATCCCAAATGTGAAGCACTTTGTAACTGTTTTTAAAAACACTATAAATGAAGTATTTTGTTATATAAATGTCTGTAGTTATTTTGTGTTATTTCATTATTTAATTCTATTCTTTATTCAAGAGGTGACTTCTGGCTGAACGGGTAGTTTTGGGATACGTGCTGCTCTGGCCAAAAAATCAAGCAGCTTAGGATGTTCACCTTGGCAGAGAAGGAGGACACTAAATGAAATCACACAGAGTGGTGGCACCCCATCTGAAATCGCAACAACTGAGCCTGAGGTGACCACCAGCAGCTGCAAGAAACCAGCGCCGCTTTTGAATGCTGACCTTGATGCAAGGCCCGACAAGAGGAACGATATTTGCAGCACAAGCCCACAATGCTGAATGAAAGAGATATCGGACAAAATATTTTCCTCTCATCAAAATTCTTTGTGTGCTTGCATCCAGTGCGAGTTGTGAGTCGGCTTTGTTGAAAGTAGTCAGACCTGCATCAGCACTGCAAGTGTAAATGCCTTGTTCTCCCTGACCAACAACACGTGAACATGAAGATGGTAGCGGTACTGCGGTGAAAGCAGGCAGACACCTCTACGCACCCCTTCGTTAGAGAAAGAGACCCACACAAAGCTCACAGAGCTGAAAAACATCTTTTGCACAGTATATTTCGCATTTAATATTTGATGACAATTTATTTTCCTGCACATTGGTTCCTACTTCCTAGTTCAAGGCTTCAAGTATACATGTTCAAATACAGTTAGGATATGCTATATAATAGCAAATGACTAGCAACTGAATACACACTGCAGTGACCGAACAGCTGAAAGAGAAGATGGGCGCTGATGTTTCTGTTCTGTAGGCACCTAAAAGTGGTGCTCTACAAGAGCTATTATTGGTTATTAGTTATAAAATATCCATACAAGTTTATATTATTTTTACTCCATAGGCCTCTGACTCAGACACCTACTCAAATATTAGTATACCTCTGCAAGATCTATACAAATAATCATATTAGAGATAACACTTGTGGGGTTTCAGTAGAGGTAAGCATAAGTATAGATGCTACTGAGTTGGAGTAAATGAAGATGGAACACTGCATAAATGAAAGATTTCAAACTGTACATTTTTAGAGAGAATATCCCCTTCAGAATTATGAAATTACAGCCCAAAACCTCTTATAAACCACAGCACAACATCTGAACATTACCTGACTGATTCTAATAAAGTGAAGCAGAACAGACGTTAGTGAGGTTTTTAGCAAAGGCGTGTTTGGGCGGAATCTCCAAACTGGACATCTGAGGATCGTGTGTGCCGTTTGAAATTTCTCAGGGACTAAACTCTAAAATTCTTTTAAACTCACTTATATCACAAAAGGTTTTTACACGCAATGCAACATGTGTTTACGTATTTTCAAATATGTCAACATATCCAAACATTTGGATTTTAGGTCCATGGATGGAAATTTAGGGAAAAAAAAAAAAAATAGTACTTTCAATGAATAAAGTGTCCTCTGCTCCACCCATGGCCAACAAAAGAAATAAAAGGGGTTCAACTGCTCTCATTTAATCTGATTTCTTGTGCCACTCCATGAAGCAGTTCCTTTTAGAAGTGAAGCACAGAGAGACCCGGCACGCCGTGCAGTACACAGGTGTCTTCATCCTTTTGATGCCAGCCGATTGACATCGCTTGCAGTACCTCCTGGCTTGGGTACCATCGTCTCCATGATATGCAGGCATGCAGGAGGTTGCTGGTGGTGTTGGAGGTGGTTCTGAGCTTTGGCAAACTTCAGCATTTCTGAAGCGAGTGTCTCCCTGAAGAGCTTCTGGTTGAAAAGCCTTTTCATGTTGGATGGTTCTTCCTTTTGTATAGTTCCTTATGAAGAAGGAAGCTGTTGACCACAGCGATGTCCATAAAATAGTAAAAGAAGGTCTTATACCATTTCAGAGTTTTATGGTGCACAGTGTAGTAGCCAGTCAAAGCGTCGGACAAATCCACGCCACCCATGCTCTGATTGTACTTTAAAACAGCATCGGGAACGGGCACATCTTTGGTCTGCCACACGCCAGCCTTTCTCACTCTCCTCTTCACAGTCTGTCCGCTAAATGCTTCATGCACAGTGGAGCACATCGTCACTTCACGCGCGTCCATCCATTTTACAAACAGAAGTTTGTTTTGACGTATCCACCGCATATCTCCCCTTTCAGCTTTCTTTGGCAGGTCATTCTTGTGGTCTTCGGAAAGCCAACCCGATTTTTTCTGATTGTCCCCATACACCAATGTTTTGTCTGGACAATTCCTCAAAGACGTCAACACTGGAATAGAAATTGTTGACAAACAGTGTGTAGCCGCGACCGAGGACTGGGAATTGCAAAAGGTCCATTACTGAAGTGTAGCTCAAACCCTTGCCTGAATTGTTCCTACTCTTCCCATCATAGATTAAAAAATTCCACGTGTAGGACGTTAAGGAGTCCGCAAGGACAATAATTTGTAC